CCTAAGAAGTGACAACTGGAAGTATCAGGTTCTTGTGGACCAGCTGAAGTATCTGTCATCTGACTTAGACTGTGGCTGTCATTAGGCAATGACTTTTGTTACAAGATAATGAGGTCACTCACCCTAGGATCAGGTCCCTTTACAACTCCAAATGTGTCATGTCTATAAAATTAATGTTAGTTGATGGATGTTTGTGGCACACATCTTTAATGCCAGCACTTGAGAGACAGAGGCAGGTGGATCTCTGTGAGTTCTAGGTCACCCTTGTCTACAGAGCAGATAGATGGATGGATAGATAGATAGATAGATAGATAGATAGATAGATAGATAGACAGATAGATGTAGAAAGAAAGAAAGAATTAAATAAAGCAATAAAATAAAATAATAATAGTTCAGGACACAACCATGAACTTTGAACAGAGAACTCATCCAACACTCTGCAGAGCCAGGCAAGACAACTGTTTCTCAGGGTGGCCACCAGGTGGCAGTTTGCTCCTGGCTGAAAAGGCTTTCATGGAGACAATTAGCTACACAGGCTTACAAAACAAATTCATCCTGTTCTAGGGAGTCCTTTAAGACTGGTGGGTACGCTCTGGGCCTTAACCACTTTCTGTGAATTCTCTTTCTGATTTCTGCAGAGTGTGGTTCTCAGGATCACATCAGAGGAAGCAACGACAGATGCATGCCCTAAAAGCTGCCTTAGGGTTCATCTCCACCAGCCAGGAGAGTGAGGCATTCCAGAAATTAGTCCCGCACCACGGCTGGCTCTAGTCAGTTTATGGTTGTGAACCATGTCCTGCAGCAGGAACCTCTCGCCTGGGCTGCTTAATACAGACCAAACAAATGATTAGCAGTGTTTATCTGCTACCCTATTGGTACCATACACATGCAGGTTCTCCAATATGGAGAATAAGTGGGTCTTTATACTATAGAAGATAAAATGGCTCCTATCCTCCCACAGTGTTCCCGTCACACTCTATTGGGTCCTCAGGCTGTGATGTAGACAGTCCCAGGGGGATCGCTTTCACTTTCTATGTTCCACCATTGTCAGGAGCCATAAAGGGACAAGCTAATAATTAGCAGCTGATCATCCTGAAATGTTTGCCTTGGATTATTATAAAATCTGTGACAGGTGCGACCTTATTCAGCAAGGCTGTAAGGGACTCATTTTTAGGGAGGATTCCTGCTATTAACATGCTTTTCCTATTTTTTATTATTATTATTATTATTATTAAACAAACATAACAATCACTAAGCAGTAGCACACCCCTTTGGAGAAGATCAATGCAGATGCAAGAAGATGTACTGTCTTGTGGTGATGTTATATAGACAAACAGATGCCTTCTTAAGTCTTAATATTGATCCTATAAGAATTTCTAAAATTATATCAATGATTATTAAGCTCTTTTATAGTGGGACTGCTATTAGGTCCCTTTCTGATAGTCAGAACTGCTATGAGAACTCTGCCAGTCTCCCAAGTGTCATCAGTTAGTTGCTCTTAGATAGTAACCAGACTTTTTCCTAATCAGAGCACATTCCAAGAAGTTGTAAAACAATTAACCTAAGGTCATAGAAAGGGAACTAATGATTTATTCTAGGTGCTAGGACAGAAGATAAAATATTGCCTGGGCTTATCTATACAAAACTTCGCTAATAACTTAGTTATAGTTTTAAACCTTCAGTGAACCTGTGGAGCTAGACAGATGACGGATGTTTAGCCAGATAATTACTCCTAGTGGATATGCATGTAAACATTCTCTGTTGTAAACTTCTATTTCAATTTATGATTTGATTTTTGGTGTGAACTTGTGATGAACTTTGTAACATGTGATCAGGTACTCTGAAAGATGTGTAAGTACTGAAGACAAAGACAAAGAGGGTTGGTTTGTCCCTTCCCTTCCTTTTCCCCTGCCTAGAATTTTTCCCTTATTAGAATTTTTTTGCTTTTCCCCACTTAGGACCTTTCTGTTTTCCCCCTTAGATAGCTTTCATAGGAAACTTTTTACACTTAGGAATAAACTTTATAATAACTTCTCTACCTGTCTTTTCTTCCTGTGACCTCAGACTAGCAGGCATAAGTTAGAGCCCAGCTGTTCCAGCTGAGATAGAACAAAGGCCATATTGCCTAATCTTCCTCTGTTAGGCTACAGGTGTTAATCACCTAAACCTGCAGTCTTTTACCCTCAGAAGAAGTTTTTAGGACTTTTTAGAACTTATCATCAGCATTTCAGTACAGGTCAGAGAGCCAGAAAGCCCTGAGACTGTCAGACTTTAAAGCCATCACCAGAGTCCTACCCTGTGCCCCTGCCACTACCCTCTTCCAGCCGGGAGACTCTTGGCACACCATTTGTAAGAGTTGCCACTGAACCTTAGATCCTTCATAAACCTGCCACCATCAACGGTTTTGGTTTTGTGTCCTGACACTGCTGCTCTGCACGGATCCAACCTTGTGTTTCCTAGCTCCCCTAACTAGGTCCTGAGTGTCTCTCCAAGGCACCTGCTTCAATGAGCTGTAAGAGCCCATGTATTTGGTTACCAGGGAGATGCACACCACCAGGTTTCCAGTGCCTCCCACATCCACTGCGGCTCACACACACTAGTGCATCCTGCAGTGTGACCAGAGCCACATGCAGTTCTTGGGGCTCTTGTTGGATCAGCTTTGCACAGGCACTGTAAACAATCCAGTTTGGGCCACTGAGGTGTGTGTCAAATGCTGCCTTCCTCAGTCCCAACTCTCCCATCAGGAACTGACCTTCTTCAGTCTCGCAGTGACACCGAGAGGTCAGGAGTGCCAAGTCCACACAGAGCACTGAAACTCAGGTGTATATCGATTGCCTATAATTTGTGAGGCCCTTGATTTGTCCCCAGCTAGAAAAAGGGAACACAGAAATGACATGAGAGCCTTCTTGGCTATGGGCATGGTTTATTTCAAACATCTCAAAACTGAGTAAGAACTTATCAGGTCAAAGATTTTTTTTAAAAAAAGATTCATTTATTTCCTATGTATACAGTGTTCTGCTTCCATGTATGCCTGCAGGCCAGAAGAGGGTTTGTCTTCAGAAATGGGGTCCTGCTGTCAGTTTGTGGAGAGGCAACAGCCTGGATTCTTTGAGGATTTTTCTAAGACCCTTTTGGTAAATAATTCAATTGAATGTAACCCAGTTCTGGTACTGGAAGCTTCGTTTGGCGGTAAGAACTGGCCAGTTGAGGCTCCATCTCCCTCATTATTTAAAGACTTCATAGTTTAGGAAGTTCCCACTACACTAGGTTTTCCTGCTGCCTCTCAGTTCTAGCTGTCTCTCTCCACATTCTGTTCCTCAACCTCTTCTCCCCTCCCTTCCCCCACCGGAGCAGGCGGGGGGCCCCCCCCCACTCAACCCCCCCACACACACATGATCATCCTGCTCCAGTGCAACCCCCTCCGCGGCTCTAGTCCAGGCATAAAATCTATACTATTTTCTCTCCTTGGGAGATCCTTGTGTCCCTCCCTCTATGCCTGACCCCTCTATGTCTAAAGACTGTAGCTTGGCTACCATTTATTTAATGGCTAATGTTCACATATAAGTGAACACATACCATATTTACCTTTCTGATGATCTGGTGGTTTTAACATATGGAGATAGAAACTTTCCATGGTGGAGTTACATTATAACCAACCATCTAATAACTACCATTTGTAGAGTTACAGTGTTGTATGTTTACACAGAACTGAATACTAAACAGAATCCCTTTGCAGACTGGAGAGATGGCTCAGCTGTTAAGAGATCATACCTACATCATGCAAAGAACCTGAGGTCAGTTCCCAGCACTCATGAGGCAGCTCACAGCCACCTGAAACTCCAGCTCCAAGGAATCTGATGCTCTGTTTGGTCCTCCTCAGACACTCACTCATCTATCCACACACAGACACGCATGTAACATAACTTATAGAATAACTACAACTTGATACAGATTGGGAAGCCTCCCCTTTTTTGAAGAGAAATGGGGGAGTTAAGGGGGGATAGGGGAAGGACTGGGGAAAGAGGAGGAAGGGGAAACTGTGGTCAGGATGTAAAGTTAATTAATTAATTAAGCCAAAGCTTACACAGACTCTGCAACAAGACTTGGAGAAACAATGTGGCCAAGAACTTGAAGTGCCTAAGAAGATGGTTCGGTTAAAGCAGGTCATACAAATAGCTCCTACTGCTTTCTCTTTCATAAAGAGACAAATGATGCAGTCTCAACTCTCATTCCTGTTGGACGCCTAGTTTCTAAAGAAGCCAATTAGCGACGCACAGGTCCTAAAGTACGGAGTCAACAGGAACACAATCCACATTCAGGCTCCTCACAGACCCCGGGGTGTGGGGATGTCACTAAGTTTAGCCGCCTTGTTCCTACTGGTGACCAGCGCCAGGGTCCAGACCCAGACAAGTAAGTGGGGGGAGGGGTCGGGAGTGAAAAAGACTCTGCAAGGAAAAGTGGAGGGAGGGTGGTGGTGGCAGGGGTGGAGGGCCCGAAGTTCTGCCGCCCTGTCCCTAGTCCCTCCTCTGCCTTCATCTGGGACCCTGAGCCTGGAAGATGTCGGAGTCTCACCCGGGCCACCCCTAGGCTCACACTCGCTGCGGTATTTCTACACCGCTGTGTCCCGGCCCGACCTCGGGGAGCCCTGGTTCATAGTTGTCGGCTACGTGGACGACAGGCAGTTCGTGCGCTACGACAGCGACGCGGAGAATCCGAGGATGGAGCCGCGCGCGCCGTGGGTGGAGCAGGAGGGGCCGGAGTATTGGGAGGGGCAGACACAGATCGCCAAGGGCCATGAGCACAATTTCCGAGTGAACCTGAGGACCCTGCGCCACTACTACAATCAGAGCGAGGACGGTGAGTGACTGTGGCCAGGATCACAAACAGAATACCTCTATGTCCCGTGAGACGGGCCTGGGTCATCTTGACCCGCTGGGTCGAAGTTTCAACCGAACACCTTCCCAGAACCTCAGACAAGAAAGCCCCCGCAGAGTTCTGCTCAGGTTTCAGTTGCACTTTTGTTTTTGAAAGTTCTGGGATATTCACCTACAGCGGGCAAGGTGGCCATAGAGGGCGCTGATCAGCGTATCCCTTACAGAGCCTCACACGCTGCAGTGGATATCCGGCTGCGACGTGGGGCCCGATGGTCGCCTGCTCCGCGGGTATTGTCAGGAGGCCTACGATGGGCGAGATTACATCGACCTGAATGAGGACCTGCGCTCCTGGACTGCCACTGACTTTGCCTCACAGATCTCTAAGAGCAAGTCAGAGAAGGTCGATGAGGCCGACCACCAGAGGGCATACCTGCAAGGTCCTTGTGTGAAGTGGCTCCAGAAATACCTAGAGCTAGGAAAGGAGAAGCTGCTGCGTTCAGGTACCCTGGAGACCTCTCAGTTTTCCTCTGGGGTTTGGGGAAAAGGCTTAGGGTATATAGAACTCAGGGGCAGAACGCTGTCCAACAGGCGCAGCGCTGGAGAGGAGGGAGACTCCCAAGGCTGCTTTTCTCCTGTAGGGAGACTAATCCTTAACACAAGCAGATCAGCCTTGACTATGGCCCTGGACCCATGGGGAGCTTTTTCTCAGGCCTCCCTCTAAGCCCTACTCAGGGTCTCTAGAGTCAGACTCCAGCTTTTCTCAGTCAGATGGGGATCAGAAGCCCTTCCCCTGAGTCTGCAGAGACCTGGAGCCTCCTGCCCCATATTGTCACACTCACATCCCAAAGTATCCCAAAGAACACACATCCTAGGTGAACACACATCCTAGGTGCATGTGCTCTAGCTGGGGTCTACATCATGGACACCCTAATCCCACCCCAGTTCTCCTGTCCATCCCAGGATGGTCCCTTGAACACTGCTGAGTCCCCAGAAGAAAGCAAGATATCTCACCCTTTCAACTCTCTCCCTCAGAACCCCCAAAGGCACATGTGACCCATCACCCAAGATCTAAAGGTGATGTCACCCTGAGGTGCTGGGCCATGGGCTTCTACCCTGCTGACATCACCCTGACCTGGCAGTTGAATGGGGAGGACCTGACCCAGGACATGGAATTTGTGGACACCAGGCCTTCGGGAGATGGAACCTTCCAGAAGTGGGCAGCTATCGTGGTGCCTCTTGGGAAGGCAGAAAAATGCACATGCCATGTGCAACATGAGGGGCTGTCTGAGCCCCTCACCCTGAGATGGAGTAAGGAGGGTGTGGGTGCAGAGCTGGGGTCAGGGCTGAGAGCTGAATGGTCTTCATCATCTCTTCACCTCCCCTTTCCTCCTTTACCCTTCCCTTCTCTCACCTCTCCTTCCCTCTCCTCCCATCCTCTCCCCTCCCCTCCCCTCCCTTCCCTTCCCTTCCCTTCCCTTCCCATCTCTTCCCAGAGCCTGCTTGGTACAAGAACCCCACCACATGGATTGTTCTAGTTTCTCTCATCATCATCATTTGTCTTGCCTTGGTGCTTTACAGATGCATGAACAAGAATGCAGGTAGGGAAGAAATGTGTTCTGGGTGTTCTTGTCCCACCAAGGGTTAGAAGCCTTAGGCACAGGTACACCCTGCTTAGGTAACGGGATGTACCACCCACAGCCTTGTTTCCTCTCACCCTGAAGCCTTTTTCTTTAACCTTAAGTGAAGGAGACTGAAGGACAGTTTCTACTTGGGGACAGTTCTAGTGACTGAGACCTCATGCCCAGCTGTCACAGGCAAAGGTCTCACTGA